TACAGCAACGGGTAAATATAAAAAAGGTAATGTTCCTCAATTTCTCTGAGGTTAGAGTGGACAGTGGTTGCCGAGGGAACTGGAGGACGACTCCCAGTGGTCCAATAGTGATAGAAGAGAGTTGCAGCGTTTGCCTCTTCACGCAGACCGCCTCAGCACTTGGTTCCCCTTCAAGCCTCCGTTTTGGATCGAAACATCGTAACCGGGCCGTTAATTGCGCCGTTGACTCAATCAGTGGCAACTCGCAGGAGATGTTTTGATTGTGTGTTTGTGTGTGAGCGCGCGTGCATATCTGATGGTTGTCTGCGGCCCTACTCGCGCATGTGTGCGTGCACAAGTAATGAGTTTCGGTGCTGAGGTACAGAGAAAAACAGCAGAGGCCAGCTGGTCCCTGCCGGGGGGGGGACGGGATTGGACGAGTCCTGCCACTGGTGCACAGACGAGGGGTGAATGGCTTTTTTTAAGTCCCGGCGCATCGGTAGTTTATCCTCCTGACGGGGGCTGCTGTTGATTACCCCAGAGAGTGTGTCTTAAAGGTTTGTCAATGATGACCTCATGTGTGCTGAGAGCAGCGTTCTACAACTCTGCAGACGTCTTCGGGCAGCGATTCAGTGATTGCATCAATGAAGAGTTGATTGAGCAAATTAGCGGTAATGACAGACAACGCTGACGTAAAAAACAACAACAACCACCATTATTGGTAATTAGGCCGTAATGGCTTACCGTTGCGGCGGTTTATGTGTTATTTCGTGCGGACACAGGACCGCTCATGCTCCACTCCTCAGGAAAAAGCACATGAAGAAAGTCGGTGGATAATTCTGTCGTCGGAGGGTAAATGTAGGCAAATAAAGTTTTTGAAAAGTGTGTGAGGTGATAAACGTGCTTTTCTAGTTTTCATTTCCCAAGAGGCCGCTTTGATGTTATTCCATAAAAGCAGCCCTATAAAAGATGCTGATGTGTGCATTTGCTAAGGAAACTACCGACGTGATTTCATTATTTACAGCATGCACGGTACCTACTGCCACAGACTTAATATTTAGAACACCCCTGACACAAACACACGTGAACGAGACAGCTCGCCTGCCCGTTGGAGTGTGAAAGCATGTTTGGGAAGTCGTCAGCGGACGACTCGATGAACCAGACTCGGCTGCACGGATTGGAGTTTGTAAACGAATGTCTTGACATAGTTTTGTTATTGCTGCGATTGATCGACCCGTTTCTCTTTCCTTGTATTGACTGTCCACCCTAAATACGCTTCGAGAACTTAGCAGATATACAAATCATCTGTTTAGGGCTGAAGCGTTCCCTTTTAATGCCGCAAGAATTGAAACCTTCAAGTGTTTTCTTTTTTTGATGTCGGACGGCATTACTGTCTTTTCTTCTGCGAGGTCGGCCCATGTTTGTCAAAAGCTACAACTTGTCTCTTCCAGGTGTTTTTAATGGATTTTTGTCGAAGCCTCTGGCAGTAATGTAGGGCGAAGCCGCGGCAGATCAAACACTGCCTTCAGACTGTGAAGAATACCTCGGTGGGTTTAGACTTTTCATATCCATTCACGTCAGTGAGGAGAAACCAAATACAATTCCACAGCTTTAATGTATTCCTTGAAAGTCAGCGGGGCTTGTTCCTCTGCTCGGATGCCATCCGGCTAAATTATTATTCCCCAAAACGACAGACATGAATTTGTTTGTTTTTTTGCATTAAGCTCAGCAATGCAAAACAAAAGCTGACTGACACACACACTGGTATCAGTGAAAGAGAGGGAAGCCTCACTTTTGTTAAAGGATGCTCTGGTGCGGGAGTTATAGATTTCCTGTAGCTGTTTCTGTCCGCTGTATGCTTCTAAGTGTCCAGCGCTACCTCACCTTTGTTATTTATTGATGCCGCCGGTATTCTCCAAAGGACTCTTTTTAGCGCAGAAGTGAAAGGTGCAGTGGTGCTATTTTTCTCCCCCCCCCCCACCCTCCCTCCTTCCCTCCTTCAAAGCTACCTGCCTCCCTCTTCTGGCAGTCTTCAGCGGCTCTCGCAGCTTTTACTAACTAGCTGTGCTCGCCCACTCACGGGAAAAGGCTGATGAGACAGCGAAACCGGCGCAGAGACAATGCAGCGACGGAAAGAGGGGGAGGCAGTGGGGGAGGTGCCTGCAGAGACCCACGAGAGAGAATGAGAGGCATCGCTCTTTTTTTTTTTGTATGCATTTTTAGCACATATATGTTCATCCCGGGGGGGGGGGGGCACTATGTCTCTGTCATGGCCTCTGCCTCCCTTTCTGCGCCTCTCTCGTTGTTGTCACCATTCAACGCATTTTCCTTCCTCACCCATCCTCCTCCCCCTCCCCCCTACACCCCACCCGCGTAAGTTATTAAATCTCCCCTCGCCCCCTTCCATTGTTTCTGCTATCTGCCCGGCAACCTTTCTGTCTTGTGCCACTAAGTGGACTGCTTATATAACGGCCTCCACCTAGAGGGACTCCTCTCACCCGGCCCAGCCTGTTCTTCTCACTTTACCCTTTTAGTCTCCAGCCTTCTCTCTCTCTCTCTCTCTCTCTCTCTCTCTCTCATTCCTCTGCACCACCGTACCTTCTCTTTCTCCTCCGGAGTCGTTTTTTTCCCTCCCCCTCTTTCTTCCCTTACTTCTTTCAAGGCTGACTTTAGAATGAGAGCGAACGAGCTCCTGTGTGCGTACGTCTAGGGAGGCCGAGCGAACCAATACAGTAACAGGGCTGAAACAGCTGGCGACAACAATTTAGACAATTGATTACTGTTTGTTTAACAAGCAAAAAGATTGAATAAATCCCAAATGTGAGGATTTGCACTTACACTATGAATCTCTTGGGGTTTTCGGTCTATGACTGGACACAATAAACAACTTCACTGGTAGCTATGTGAGATTGTAATTAAAAAAATGTACTACTTGCTGACACTTATATTATATAACGATCTATATTCATCAAAATGAAGAGGAGCTCCCCACCGAGGGGCAAATTAATGCACCAAACAGATTGTCCATTTCAGTATCATGTGCACTTATTTCACGTCCCTTAACTGCATTTCCTGTCTCCGTAGCACCCAGCAGCTCTTCATCCATAGATACCATTGAGTGCTCAAACACGGTCTCCTGCTCCTGCTGTCTTGCATTGAGCTCTGCCTGTTTCTGAATGGCTGCATCTTTTTACACACCACTCGCATCCGGGATTCTCCTCACGGCGTGTTTTCATATTCAACGCAGCCCCTTTCTCCCACTTTCATCTTGGGCCCATCTGCTTACCATTCTCTCAATCCCACACCCATCGTAGCGCTTTATCTACCCCCCCATCCCAAACTTCCTCCCCTGCTCCACCACTAAACCCCCTCTCTAAATATAGTCCCTTTGAAGCATAGCTGTGTTGTCTCTTCCCGCAACACTGCTAGACAAAAGTCTGTCATCTCACATCTGAGCCGCGGGGAAAGAAAGCACAGATAAGATTGATGGCCCCCAAAAAGAACAGTGGTTAAGAGAACTGATATTCATCTGCCTGTGTAAACGAAGGGAGGGGGGGGGGGTTGAGAGTGGAGGAGAGGATCCAGGAAAAAAGAAAAAAGAAACCTCTGCAACGGCACAGCGAGAAAAGATGGCGAGACGGTAAAAGAGGGAGAGGAAGAGAGGTGATCTACATTTTGTAATTGAATAATAATCTCTCTGGAGGGCCTGACCTATAAGGAATGCATGCTGGCGCATTGACGTGTTCGAGTTTGTACGTGTGTGCTCTTGTGTGTGAGCGTGTATCAGAAAATAGGTAAGACAAGTAGACAACCAGGGGAGGCACAAAGTGCAGAAAAAGGGTTTCTCTTCTAAAAGGCGGCACCACACCTCCACCTGGTGGAGCACATGCGCCAATACAGCGGCAGTCGATGCGTGTTACACATCGCTGCAGCCGACAATTCCCATCTCATCAGCTCACCTGCAGGAGCCCTTCTAACGACTTCTACTTTGTCTAATTAAAGATTGTGTCATTTACATAATAAGTATATACTTAGTATTACAAACAGTGAAGATCACAGCGTGGCGGCACGAATGCTAAATCACACAACATAATCGTCTCAGTTGTTCAGGGAGGAGTCTTGAATCACTGTACTGTCATGTACATCACACACACTCACACACACGCTAAATCTCAGAGGGCCCTCTCTCGCACGCCTAGTTGTCCATCAGCGACGGTTGCCGGGGGGAACATGGGCCGTCATACAGGTCGGTCGCCTGCCGTGGAAGCATACATCGCCAATGACAGCATCTCCTTCCGCCTCAGTGACCCGGCTTGTTTGTGGCTCAGGGGGTACAGGAGTGCAGATAATCGTTGTCAGCACCTGCCACGAGGCTTTTAGCCGCACAATGTTGGTTTTAACATATTTCAAATAATAGATATGGGGAATTACAGCCACGGGGGACAATCACATAGACCCGTCTGTTCTAGGGATCTCAATGGGGAGAAGGCAGGTCAACAATATGGTAGAAGCCATCGGGTTCATTTAAAATGTAGTTTAGCAGCGTGTCAAGTTTTTCTAGTTATAAATTAAGGTCTCTAGTTTGTGCTAGTAAAGTTGTATCAGGCTGTCATATCCCAGAGGTAATAACAGGTCATTTTACACATGTAACGGGTAAGATGGTCTCACAGTGTAAGACGGCTGCTATGGTAACCAGCATCATCACACGTGAATACAAATGGGCTCTTTGGATCCACACGAGCCTCAGCTTTACAGTCAAACCCAATGCATGCAACTCCACTACTGTTTAGGAACCCGGGTATGCAGAAATATATGCAGAAATATATGATTATCCTATTCTTAGAATGGGCGTGAAGAACACATTTGTGCATCATGCAAGCAAGTGCATGGTCTTTGCACCAAAATGGCATAATAGAGTCTGTAAAGAGGAGACATAATCACCTTAACTGTGCCGAGGTTTGGAGTTTTGTCATTTGCGGCCCCCAGTCACTCATCCGCATCTCCTTCTTTTCTTCATTCAGGCTGCGGAGGGAAGGATACACGGTGCAGGTCAGCGTCAACGACTACCTGGACATCTACTGCCCGCACTACAACACCAGCCAGCGGGGGACGTTGGAGCGCGCCGTGGCCGAGCAGTACATCCTCTACATGGTCAGCTACCGCGGCTACCGCACCTGCGACCCCAAGCTGGGCTTCAAGCGCTGGGAGTGCAACCGGCCCCACGCGCCCAACGCCCCCATCAAGTTCTCTGAGAAGTTCCAGCGCTTCAGCGCCTTCTCGCTGGGCTACGAGTTCAACGTGGGCCAGGAGTACTACTACATCTGTGAGTCGGGGCCCGTAGACGCCGGCTCACCGCGATGATGTGCTGAGCACCCAGTATTTTAATATCCCCTCCTGGGCTGCTGTCACCCACGTGCATCGACGGCATGTGGGTGTTGCTGATAGCTTCTAGATACGTTCAGCTGCAGAGCTGCCGTCTGCCCGACTCATTGCGGATGTTGCCGCGGCCTGCAGAGGGCACAAGGTTGACCTGTATGTGTGTGTGTGTGTTTGCTCTCTGTTTTAGCCACGCCCACCCACCACCACGGCCACAGCTGCCTGAGACTGAGGGTCTACGTCTGCTGCTCCACGGGTGAGATAAGAACGTCTCTGCCTTACCTCGTTTCAATCCATTTCCCCTCTCCCTGCGTCACCTCACCTCACACTTTGTTCTGCACTCGTAGCTCTTGGTCTCGCGTGAACACACAGAGAAGCGGGCAGAGAGACAGAAGAAGCGAGATCTGATCTTTTACGGCGCCGTTTTTTTATGACGGCGTCTTTTCCCCTCGAAGCGCCGCTTCCAGAGTGATGGCTTAATGTCATTCTGCCCCAGTGCTGCTGCTATAATGCTCTGTCTCTCTCTGTGAAAACGGCACGCTCTCATGAAGCCGTACAAAGGATGTGAAAGTGGGGGGGGATTCATCTGCAAGATTCAGCTCTCTTGACCCCCCCCACCCCCCCTCTCTGTCTCTTCTCTCCGCCTGGCTCTCTCGATGCCTGCTGCCCTGTTATAGTGTGAGTGTTATTTTTACCCTGGACGCCTGCTCACTCCCCTGCAGGCCTTTGATCGGAGAGCCTCCCCGTCTCCTCTAACCTTGTCAGCACGAATACATCCCACACTCAGGCCAGTGTCAGCCCCTGTGTACACATCACCTTAACACCCGCCCTCCCCACCCCCGTGTCGCGGCAAATCTATTGATGTGCCCGCCCCCCACCCCCCCACGCCTTGGCTTCCGTGTGCGTTTGTGTGCATCGCCGCGAGTTTTGTCTCGTGCCCGTGTGTGTCTCCACACGGCCGTTTGCTGGCCTTCAATCTTTTTAATGTGTGCGTGTGTAAATGAACGACTCTGTGTGCATCGGTGGATTTAGTCGGTTTACGATCCACGACCTTTACTCTCAAAGGTCATTTTAGCAGCTTGCTATCAAAAAGCTGTTGATTTCAGCCGCCTCCAGAGAGGGTTTTCTATTTTTCTCTGAGTGTCTCCCACCTTAACCCTTCCAAGACTTCAGGAAGAACATCAGGAAGAGATGTGAATATTCATGACTTGCTTCTCTGCAAAGAGCTGCGACTTGATTGCCACCAGCTTTTGATGTAAATTCTCCACAAATGCAATTTCATCCTCTTAACCGTGCAGCAGAATCACAGCCCCACACGCATATTGAGCACACATGGACAAACCCACACATCTTTCATTCATGGATGATTTGGCGATGCAGTCTGAATGTGATTCTGTGTCTAGACGAGAAAATGATTTCTGTCCTCTGGTTCCAAATGCTTTAAACCTCCAGATGGAGGTCTGGATCCTCAGTCTAGGAGGTCTTCGCTCTGTTGTATCTGAATGCAATTTAGTGGTGCCTTAAAAAAGCACATTTCACCTTGTCACCTCCAGTCTTGTCATTTTAATGATGTGTTTTCTCTCCCTGTGTGTCCCCCCTCTCTCCATCCGCTGCCCTGTATCCCTCCCTCTTCTGTCTTTTCTGACTGTGTGCGAACATGTGGTGTGTTTCATAGTTTCCCAGGCAGATGATGACTCCAGTCAGACCTCTCCCGACTACACAGTCAGGCCAAATATCAAAATACACAACATCGGTGAGTGATTCTGACTTTCTGGAAATACAACAGCAGCCAATTGCCAGATGCTGGTCAATATTTGTCCGTGACTGCAAAGCTTGATTCGTGTCCCAGTCATTGTGGGAAGGCACCGACCATTTTTGTTTCTTTTATTTGGTTTATGTTTAACAAAAGAATATCCACATAAACCCTTTCATTTTCTGTGGAAGAACACAAGCATGTAAACGAATGACGACACGTAACCCGACAGCAGCGCCTTGATCTGAAGAGCAGCATCAAAGGGTAGATACAGTTTGTTTCACAGTTTTCACAGTCTATTGGTGATGATAATCACCAAAGCAACACATAACATTACATTACAGGTCATTTAGCAGACGCTTTTATCCAAAGCGACTTACATTACACTTTTTCACATTTTTGCCCGGGGAGCAATTAGGGGTTAGGTGTCTTGCTCAGGGACACTTCAACATGGAACATGTGGCAGCCTGGAATCGAACCAACAACCTTGTGCTTCCCAGCACACCTTCTCTAACCCCTGCATCACGACCACCCCCGGTCCCCCCCATAAGCACCCGGTATGTCGGAATTATACTGATGTTATTACACGGTTAATTTTTCGGGACAATTACTTGGTTTTTAGCCCCAAAACAATCAACAGTACAATCAATAGCGGTAGAGGGGAACACGGAAAGACAAGCTTGAGTATTGGATTGATTTGATTCTCGGCAGATCCACAAAGTTAAGTTAGAATTAAACCATGATAACAACAACCTTCACCTCCACACAGCAAAACCTCCACGAGGTCAGTCGACATCTTCTGAGGAAGAAAAGGCCCGTGTTTACCTAAAGAGAAAGCGTGTCAGCGGGCAAAGTCAAGTGTGCAGCTCGGTGGTTACATAAACCCTCTATTTTCCTTCCTCACAAAAGCCTCCTGGCAGGGAGCCGTTTAGTGCGCTCGTTTGCGGGAGCCGTGGGCCGTCTGTGACGGGGGGGGGCTGCGGGAGTGTGACCTGCCTGGGATGCAAGCGGAGGCCAGCGGAGACGCAGCGAGGAGAGCTCTCCAGCCACCGGCTCCGAGTTCCTTCAGAGAGAGAGTAGGGGGGGAAGAGTGGGGGGAGGAGAAAGTCAGTGGGATGAAAGACAGGAAGGAGGAAGCAAGAGAGAAATGAGGCAGGAGAAGGCCTGACAGAAAGAGAGATATAGAGAGAGAAACCGACAGAGAAAGATAAAACCACAGTGGGGGCAGAAGACCGGGGGAGGGGGGGGCAGATAGAAGGAACAGAGGAAGAAAGAAAGGCTCAGTGGTGGGCGAAGCAGTATCTCCGGCTCGAGCTAACGTTGAATTTTATACAAAAGAAACACACGCACACACTGACACACTGCGCCTGTAGCATTGTGAAACATTTTGCTGAAAAACAAAAATCAGGACACACAGATTTGTGCACAGACACACTGGTGCTCGTGGCGTGATGGCCCTGCTGACCGCTGGGCACCCACTCCGTGACTCACCCTGAGGACGCGACCAGCGCCGCAGCATCTCCACCATCTCCATCTCCAGCCTCTTATTAGCTTCGCTTCTGAGTCACACGTTCCTTATTCATCGCCGGGTCTATTTTTCAGTTCCGGGCCGTCGTATCTACGGGTGATCACACGGCTGTTGAAGATGTGCTTTTTCTATGTAGTTATTCTTGCTGCATGTACTCAACGGCAAAGGTCAGATGCTGCGCGGAAATCAAAATGAGTCATGCAGGTTCACCAGAAACTGGGGCGGTCTGATTCTGAAGACCCAGGCCGTGCCGTTGGGCCCGCCGAAGGGGAGGGAGGTCCCGGGGAAGCGGAACCGGACTCAGCGGCACACTGCTGCAGTGAGAGGACAGCTTCTCTAGTGGCAATCTGGCTCTTTGAAACGCGCAGCGGCAAATTCAACATTATATCAAAGTTCCTCATGGGAGCTTTAGGTTGGTTGCCGAGATCTTGAAGGATGAGTGGTAAGGTGATTCAAACAAATCCTCGGATCAGCCTAAACCCACTTGGAAGAAGAGGCCAAACGTAAAAATATCTCTCAAGCGCTCTGCTGTGATCGCCACCGTTCATCATTTATGACGCCTGACCGTGTTTGTTTTTGTGGTCCCATATGAGGTGTTTCCATATCTTAATTCTGAGCCCACTATGCAAGATAAAACCCGGGTTTCAATAAAGCATAAACGTCCTTTAAATGCAAATCGAGTTGATTTATCTTTTTTTCAACTTAAATTCTCTGCACCTTTTGAAGCACACATCTGTTGTGTGTATAGCAGAGATCTGGTGGAGCATCTAATGACGAACGGCTTGTTGCCACAAATGTGCTGCAGGAGTTCAGCATCAGCCTGGCTGCTTGCTGCTTGAGTTAATCATAACCTTATAGTTTCCTGATGCAAAGCTTAGTGCACTCGTGGAGTCTTCCAACTGTGACTTGGCCGCTATGTAAAGTGTCAGCCGCAGTAGAACGGCTAAAGCCTGCCACATAAATAAGGCAGTGGAGCGGAAAATACAACAATAAATAGATCATTTTAAGATGCATCAATAGGAACCGGAGGCTTGTGGTGTGCATATTTTCTCAAAATCAGTGGTTAAATGTACTTTTGATGCTCTATGCACTTCATCCAAAATGTGCAATCTGTTGACTCTGGCAAATTCACAAATAATAGATTGCAGCCAGTAAAAGCATAATTTGCAATCGCAATCTGCCCTGTCTGAAGGTCTATTTAAAACAATATGTTACATTATGAGGTATGTACATACAATACATGACAGAGCAAGTTTTACCCTTTTTCTGGACTCTATTGAAATTGCCTTTGTGCCAAGAACACAGTTGGCAGACGAATGGCAGAGACAAAAATAAAAAAGGACCTGACTGACGAGGTGCAGAGACGTCCCTCAAACCTTCAGGCAAACAATTTAGACGGGACTGAGAGAAATCATTTGTCAATTTGTCAGTGCTGGTGCTTTCAAATGCACGCCTTCAGGCTGCAAAATAATCAGAATTATAGGGATATTTATTCATAAAGCACCTTTTCGAGCCATAAGCACGATGCGCATTCCAAGGTGAGGATATTCCAAACCATTAGTAGGGATTAATTGCAAGTGATACATTAATAATTCACTAAAAGAAAACGGTTTATAATATATATATATTATATGTGCTTCAGTTTGTTAGCCCCAACTCTCCAAGGAGGCTAATCATCCATTCATTCTACCCATATTTGTTTTAGGTTTCCGGGGTTATTTTTGGTCTTTCAGTAAGGAATGTCGCATCATTACGCTGTTTTCCTTTGACAAGAAAGCCGCCGTAGCAGTTGGCGGGTGCCATTACGTTTAGTGTTCATTACATAACATTCAAATACTGTCCATCTTCCCAGCAAACAGTTACTTCTTGAGTAGCTCCGGGCAGCTGTGACCGAAGGTGACATGAGGGCCCACGTCAGCCGTGTCCCCATGTCCCTCCTCCTCCTCCCTCCACCCACCGTCTCACGCAGCTGTAACCGAACACGATGGCTCCATCGCCGCATGCGGTCCGCTCTTCCCCGCTCTTCCCCCGCCGTGGTGGCGTAGCGGGGACTTATCAGACCAGGCGGCCTCCCCCCAACTCATCGACCCTCCCTGCGAGCGCCTCGGGCGTCGTACCCCCATGCCGGCCGGACTGCACCAGATTGCGCCCGCGCGGATATTGATTGCTGGTGTCCCACAATCTCGCTGTTGTGTTCGCCGTGGTTCTGTGGACCTTTTTGATAACTTGTTCTGGCCCGAGGCCCCCACGAACGTCTCCCACATTCATCATCCCAAGGGCGGCCTGCTCAGACAAGCGAGGGTTTGGTGAAGACGTGCATCCCGTGCAGGAGTCTCCATTGTCGAAGCTCTCGGATCCCACAAATAAAGTCGGCGGGATCTCACGGACGGGAATCACCTCGTGGGAAAAGGCCGCACGTACGGGCTCACATGACGCCGCAGCAGAGAGCTCAGCGTCTCTTCTTCTTCTGGCTTAGCTAACGTTTAGTTTCCCCCGGTGGTTTGGAGAGGTTTGGAGAGACAGAGCGGGCGGTGCAAATGCCTGGCAGTGACCCGTGGCTCCGCCTGAGGCGGTGCTGCTCCATACGTCAACCTCTTGGCTGCGCCGACCCCTGTTTTTCGTGTGTTGCGGGTTCTTGAATGTCAGCGTTGTGTGTCATCGGGCGCAGACAGGCGCCTCGTGTTCCTCGGGAGCTCTGACGTGGGCACGAGTCTCACCCAACCGGGACAAACCAGAAGCGGTCGGACGGCTCCGTCTCAGAGGCAGAGACGGCAGCAACAAAATTCCGTACATTCATCAAACACCAAGCTGTCATGTGATCGTTGTCTCTGGCATCTCGTGCAACACGCACCCCGTGTTTCTTTCTTGCAGACAATTACTGTCGCCATTATATTCAGCAAACGCCAAGGCAAGGCTTTAACGTCACAGCGAAGCGGCTCTTTGACGGCGCGCTGCCTCCTCAACTTGATGTGTCTCCTTTGGAAGGCCAGTTTGTTTTGTTGGGAAAGGGATGCGCCGGCTGCGACTTTAACGCACTGGGACATTATGATGACAGCATAATAAAGTGAAAGTAATGGGGTTTTGATAGAATAACACAAGATTGTTCTCAGTGTCTGGGTACAATTTGTCAAAGTGCTGCTTTCTTCTGCACTTAGTTACTTCATTTTTTGTCTAACATCTGAATTCAGGCAGCACTGGTTGTTTGAGAAGTTGTGTAAGCAACAGGGCTCTTTGCATCCATTTGCTTTATTTTGGCATGTAATAACCTCTTTAGATATAATAGGAAACATCATGTAGAGGCAGAGCAGTTTAATCCACTTTTTACCAAATATTAGAAAATGTGTTCTCCCAGCCCTTTCCTCGTTTTCCCCCTGCAGCTAATGTTCTGTTGTGTCTAATCAATGGCAAGGCCACAGTAATTTGGTTTGATTGAAATCCCACTAGGAAAAAACATCATTTGTGTGAAAAAGAGAATGTGACAAAAAAAGCTAGATAGGAAATAAAAGTGGTTTTAATTTTTCATCTCACTGGGGAAATGGCCATATGTAGCAGTGCTGATGATAATTGGTGGTTTGTTAATTTTGTCATGTCTTTTTCCTCTGAATATGTTAAAGCACAATTAGCATGCATCACACAGTGCCCTTAGATTGATGAATTAATAATGTAGTAATGGTTCGTTTCCCTCTGTCTGGCGCCCTCAATCTCTCTCGCTCTCTCGCACTGACGTTCCTCTCTTTTCTCACTTTCTCATTTTCTCTTTCTGTGGCTTTTTCTCCAGATGAATTTAACCCCGAAGTTCCCAAATTGGAGAAAAGCGTCAGCGGCAGCAGCCCGTCGAGGGACCGCCTGCTCCTCTCCATGGCGACGCTGTTCGTGTCCGCCGTCCTTTTGTCCTAGCGACTCGTCCCACCGCAAGTGACCCTTCACGAAGAGCCGCCTTGACCAAAGGGCTTTGTGTCCACCGAGTTGTTGTGTTGTGCAAGTAGTCAGAAACACGGACGGAGATCAGAACGGAGCGTGCAGTAACACCACAATTAATAGGACACAGAAAGAGCAAACCTTGAACTTCACTTGACTTTTGAAAAAGGAGAGGCCTTTTTTTCTGTCATATTTACACTCCATGTGTTGTTGGACGTCATCGTCATGTGATAACACGGCATTTCACGCAGGTGCGTCTGCCGCGGCATGGAGACCACCAGCAAAATTCAGAATTAGACGTTTGTGCTGCTTGTCAAGCCTATCCTCCGACAGGCACGTGAGAAACTTAGAATGAGTTGAATATTGTAGCATGGACATAAAAAAAAAAAAAACACCCAAGGAATTTGATTTTAAATATACGCTTTGAAGAAATGTGGATTTTTTTTTAAGGCCTTGGACCACGGACCCGATGGATGTGACTCAATTCAGACTGGAACTGTACTGATCTCACCTGCGCTACACAGCGTACTGATGTAACCGGTCAGTGATGAGAACGTTATCCTGGACATTGAAGAATGTTTTCACACCAGTGCGTTGGCGCTGCTGCTTCTCAAGAAAAAGGGAGAGACTTTGTGACAAGATCCACGGGCCTTTTAAAAGAATCCATTTTCAGCTGACATGAAAAAATACCCGTGGCTTTTGTGAGATACAGATGCAAAGCCTGCTTCCCTTAGAGGACTGCGAGTGCCCTCTTAGAACTAGTCCTTTGTCTGCGTTTCCTGCCTTCACACAGTAACAACCCTAGAAAAGTACGGACTCCGGACTGGTGATTTGACGGCACTTAGACGTGGTAGTTGTGTCTTTTGTTCCAAAGCATTTACCTTCAGCACTTGTTGTAGATTTTTCCGGATGTCAAACCTTTTCTCCTCGCAGCAATCAGCAGTCATTCAGAATCCCACTAATTTACAATTCTTAAAAACCTCCGCAGCAAGTTCCCATTTAATCCGTGAGAACACCATCCATTCTGTTTCCACTCCAGAGGTTGCCAGCCAATCAGTGCTGATGGCCATTAAAGCAGCCGCGGTCACCATGGAAACAACCCTAAACAGCCGCCAGAGTGCGGCAGGTGCCTGAGGAGAAATTGTGCTTTGAGTCTCAAAGTAACGCTGCCGTCATTTTGTTTAGAACAGAAAAAAATAAAAAAACACATGTGAATGTGCAAATAAAGAGAAGTTCACCTTTTTTATATTGTAATACAGGACAACGTAGGATGGAATAATCACATTACAATGTTGTGCTTTTTGAATCGATTTACTTTTAAAATGTATTTATTTTAACATTAAAGTATATTATTTACCTATCTAATTTATCAACGTGCATTTATAGGCCTTTGCTCAATAAGCTACTGTGCCATTTTTTTATTGTTTTTTTTTTAAAACAGTGGAATTTTTACTGCAGCATTTTGCTTGTATAGATAGATAGGCAGATGTAATTCAGCCTGCCAAAAAAGAGACGGTTATCGGTTGTGACCGATCAGTGGGGACATACACTTAGTAACCCTACTCCAATGTAACACACACCGCTAACCAGATTGTGTTGCCGAAGCGCTCGTCACGAACGACGCAACTGACGGAAGTTCCTCACTGGCGAAGACGAGGGCCTCTACGTTGTAATGTATATTTATAATACATGCCGGTTATTGAATGTGGGTGCATGTGCAGGAGTGAGTCTGGGTGTGTGTGTGTGTGTGTGTGTGTGTGTGTGTGTGTGTGTGTGTGTGTGTGTGTGTGTGTGTGTGCGAAGTGGGCAAAGAGGAGGGAAAAAAAAGAAAACCAACGTGTGCACATTTGTGCGCGTGTGTATGTAGAATGTGTTTGTCCGCGCTTCTCCAGTCTGTTGCATTTAGAAATTCCGTACCCGTTAAGGACTCGTTCGTAGGATCTGAATATGCAAGTGTGTATGAGAGAGTGTGCTCTTCTGTGCTGTTGGTTTATGTTTCGGGCTTTGGGAAGCGGGGCGAAAAGCATTTACCGAGGGGTTGAAGACAACCACAAGAAACGTGTTTACCATTGACGAGAATGAATAGAAAAAAATAAAATAAAACTGTAAATTGATCCAAGAATGATTAAAACAATGCCTATTAAAATCTTTTTGCAAATTTACCCATGAGTGTTTATTTAGAAGTGTTTCTTTTGAGATATCACGCGAGCCTCCTCCTTCACCTCCGCCCTTTCCTGAACTCAGCATCATCACACAGCCTGCTGGCTGGTGAGCAGATGGAGCCCTTGCCGCACATCTCCCGGTAAGATGGCCACGACGTGGCCCCTGCGTGCAGCACCGCGCTCCTGCCATGAAACATAATGACTTGTGGAGGGGGGGGTCAGGGCTCCACGTGGCCCACTCTATCCATCTCCAGGGATTAAAAGAAAGGATAAAGAAAAGAAGGAGAAAAAACACCTGCAAGCCATTCATGCCGCCACAAATCTGTCGCTCCGCGTTGTTCTCCTTTTCTTCGATTTTTGTAGCAGAACAGAAGGAGCTGCCAATGGGGAGGAGACACTTCTCCCCAATGCGCTGATGTCCACGTCAAACGGGACACAGATAAGATTTCTGTCTTTGATGTTAGCGGTCGGGCCTAAAAATCACGTTTGAGTGAAAGAAGTAGAACGCGTTCTGCTCTCTGCTGTCAACTTGTCACCTCCGGTCCTGTGTGAAAGACCACCTACACGTGTGTGTGTGTGTGTGTGTGTGTGTGTGTGTGTGTGTGTGTGTGTGTGTGTGTGTGTGTCTGTGTGTGTGTGTGCGTGCGTGTGCATAGGGCCAGTGCCAACAAGCTATCTGCATTCATCTGGTATTCTACATGTTGTTGAAGTATTATGAAAACCTGTGAATCGTACTCAACTTATCAAGCAGGTTACAGGGAAGTGACTGCGACTATCGCTAAATGTTCCACAGCTGTTTCACTCTCCGGTGAGGCAGCAGCTTTTGATACGGGCTGACGTTTGTGCATTTAGCTGAGGGGCTGATAATTGATGAATATTACTGTGGGACTCGGCTTACAGTCCCTCGCCTGCTTGTGGGTTTGGATTTGCACGGGAATGCTTCAGTGTTTGGACACTGGGAGAAAGGGGAAGGGTTTTAGCTCCCGCTCCAGGCTCCGAGTTGACAACTTAAACCAGGATTTTTGCAGGAAATTGGCCTGCTTGGTTTTTGGCTGTCTCTGGTTAGTTATGTAAGGGAATTAAGGCTGTCATATTTACACCTTAAATTCCCGGCCGGAAGGGCTTATGTTGCCTCTGCCTAAATGAAACAAGGATTGATGCGTTTACTATTTCCATGGGAGAACCGGGAGTGTTGCAAGTTGAACACGGAGCCTCACGTTTCCATCGTGAGATAGAAATCTACAAAGTGCGCCGTCCATTAGCAAAAGGGCACGACCTCTTCTCTGTTCGGAGGCATGTTATCGTTTTCTGAATCATTTAGTGTGAGATAAGCCATCTGCAGCACGGCCAGGCCCGTCAAGAAATACTGCTGCACCGTCTGGCCCAAACAGTGAAACGGCCTCTTCCTGCTCGGAGAACTTGTTAAAGCTCAGGACACCAGCAAGACAACAACGGGGACAGGAGCTGCCTTCTAGGGTCTTTTGGGGGGGGGGGCGCCTGATTTGAAGAGCGAGGGGTCGATGCCTCTGGCCACAAAAATGATGTCATTGATTTAGTAGAGCGGTATTTTTTGAAATCATGTAACTCAAGAAAGAAATTTGGCAAATGCTCTGGACCAAAACAACACATTTTCCTCATTCAACGCACATTTCTGGGGTGCTAAATTAATAAAAATAGCAGGAAATGTATGAAATGCATATATTATATATAAATTAACATGGTTTGCAGCTACACATTGAACAGAGAGCACATGTAAACATGTCAGCTATTCACTCACCTTATTTATTATATTGTATTTACTTTAACTGGACATGTTTAGCCTCTTTCGGTGAACGTATTGGCATTTAGTGCATTCATTACATTTGTGGATTCCTGATTCTGGACAAGCAAAGTATACTGCATGTGCAACTATGTGTTTATTCCACAGTACCATCAGGTATTTGCTCCCAGAATGCAGAATTTATGACAATACTCCACTTAGTGTGACCACCTAGTCGACTTTCCACCTACAGGTGTCGCCAAAGCTTTCTTTCAGTCTGTGTCTCTGCTGTGGAGCTCAACCACATCTGAAAAACATTATGCAACAGATTTACAGTAAGTATGTTTGCTTATAGGAATAAATCATTAGTACAGACAAATAATGATGATTTGGTTTACGAATAACGTGACCTGTGTACCCTGAAATGATTTTGTTATTTTTATTCATCTAAGCTGGTCTGAATACATGTTAAACTGCTCAAGTCTATAATAATAATAGCTCGTACTCATTCAGGGAGTTTAGTGGGCCATCGTTCAAGGCTGCCAGTGAGGCTGCTCAGGGACATCCTGTGTTGATGAACGATGACTCAGTGAAGAAAGGCCATCAAAGGAACATTTGCTAAACATGGTTCTTATGTAACTGCTGAAAGGATTAGCTGACACACTGGCCATTTTGTTCAACCTTTAGGATTATATCAGTCCAGGAATCAGTCATTAGTTTGAGGATAGACTGAAGTTACATTTCCATGTAAAAGAGCTAAATCTGTTTTACATGGAAATTCAAGTTAGTTGTTAATGACTTAATCTGTGCATCCTGAGGACAGGTTTGTTTGTGTTTGCCTGGCATGTAATCCTTCCGTAGAACCACGGTTTGACCTCTTTATACTTGCGTGCGGATCAAAGTAATACACTATAACATAGAAGTTGATGAATTTTAGAAGTGCCATATTCTTTTTTCATCGTTTACTCATGCATCCAGGATTTTTGCATGCTAAGCATTCTGAGTAAACTATTGATGCCGTATCTCTGAACCCCAATAATGATGATGAGCTTGGTTCCTTGGGTGCGGTGTGTATCTAGTCACCCGGTCACAGGTGGTATCTAAGGCGCCTCTCCGCAGCCCTGAACGTATCCTGATGGGATCTCCTCCAGGATTCAGGATGCGACGTGACACTCCTTCAGGCCACCGTGAGTCAACCCTCTTTCCTCTGCAGATGGAGACAAACTCAGGTGGGGGTTTGCGCTGAAGTGAGGCGAGCAGACATTTCGCAATCCGAAAAGGCATCGTCTGGACCCCTGGGAAATACGACGCCGGCTCACGGGACTAAGACGCTTGAATGAAGTCCACGGATGACGTGACAGTCTGCTGGTGACGTAGAAGCCAGCTCTCAGGGCCGATGAGAAGGGTGATGCGTCTGTCTTTATTTGATCACATTTCCCCACTGAAGTGATGGGGGGTTTCTTTGGATTTTTTGCCCTCAGAGGAGCAAAGGTCATGTTAAATTCAAACATGAGAATCCGCAAGCGGGAACAACCTGCCTTCCTTGAAATTGGCACAAGCTTGCATTTACTGATTTAATAACGGCCCCTAAATTGAAAAGGAAAACCTGTAATTTTACTAGGACAGCCCACGGATTCTAGGTTTTATCAGGCAGACTTTTTTTTTTGACATGTTGTGAAGAGAGGCAGGAAAATGTGAATGTGCATCTTAATTAGAGCGGCGTTAAGCTTCCTAGAGGGCTTTGCTTTTGCACACATTAATTTGGGCTCTTGCCAATCCTTTCCAGATCAGTTGACTAATGTGTTGACAAGTGGAGGAAAGTTATCGCAGAATATCAAATACACCAACCTTCGCCGTCTGCAGCAGCCGCCAGTACGACCGGCGGTTGCGAGTGTGAAAACGTGTGGAATATCAAACAGGGCGGGATCTCGACTGTAACCCTGAGCTATTAATAAAAATAGAGGTAGATATCAGGCTGCAAAAGGAATACGAGGTTATGCCCCGAGTTGAGGTCTTTGCGATGTATTCACATTTATAAAAAATCAGTGAAGTCGGTTATAAACTGTTTTCATTAAAGAAGCTAAAGGGTCTTATGAATTATAGAAAACACATCTTATCCCTTCTGAAAAGCAGAAACACCCCCACGTCTCCCATGTGTGAGCATATTATTGGATGCAAGATTTAAGATGCTCTAACAGCAGTTTCTTCTTCTTGCATTAACACAGAACGTGAAGAAATGAATGAATATGTAATCAAATGAAGAAAATAAGGGAATGTGCTTCGGCTCCCCAGAGTCCCTCCATAGAAAGGGTTTATTTTATTTTATTTAATAGCAGTCTTTGTTTAACACCCTCCAGCTTTCACTTTTTAAAATTCTCATCTCTTCTTCCTTTCCCTGTTTTTTCTCCTCCTCTAATTTTCCCGACTGGTACATGCACCCCGCAAGCTGCCTGCGGCTTCTTATCATTTGTGTTTAATCTCTCTACCATCAACTTGTATTTCACCCGACCCCTCTTAACCCTTGTGTTCATTTCAGACTGTCGTACCTGACCTCCAGTCACCACATTGTTCCCTAATCACCCCGCCCTCCTCCTCTCCCCCCCCCCCCCCCCCTGCCTCCGGATTTAGCTGTAATCCCTCATTTCTGGTTGCTACATCTGCACAGCACTCAACAGCTGGGGGCCCGCTCACACAAACAGCTATAGACCTCGTGCAGTGTGTACGTGTGTGTGTGTGTGTGTGTGTGGGTGGAGGGTGACAGGGGGGGGCAAATATGTACATGTGCCCACGCTTTGGACATCTGGTCCAAATCTTAAAACCCAGGAATAGCTAAATGCTTGTTTCCAAAAAAAGATGCTGTGACCGAGTATTCAGTATCAAAGAAAAGATGGAACGATCTATCGTATGCTGAGCCGCAAATACAGTACGTCTGGTCGGGTGTGTGAACATATCTCACAAAAACAGGGAAGCAGGTACAACATTTACCATAATCACCATGTTAGCGCTGTGTGCTAGGATGCTAGCAATTGGTAGTTAGCGGTAAAACCAAAGCTCAGCTGGCTGATGGGATTTTGTGATTATTAGTTCTGGAAATATTTGTTGTTAGTAGTATTGAACGAACTAGTAACCTGATGATTTTGACAGGTGACACCGAAGACGATAGGTTTCATCCTCGAGTTTGTAAAAGATGTCATGCTAATCCAATACAGCTGCTAAAAAATACTTCTTCGCGTTTACAAGT